ACCGGTACCTCAGAGCTGATGTTCACTCAGGGACTCGAACCCAGCACCGTTCGCTTCAAACGTCATCGCGTTATCCACTCAGCTACTGAGTCCTGATAGCCACTTGCTTGTGCAATGGAGTGAAGTTTAAATTCAGTTGGTATTGTGAATTGAAAGAGATGCTCAGCGCGGTGTATCCAAACGTGATCTGGTGGAGTTGCTTAACCGAACACCTTCAATTAAATTATGTCCAGTAAAAAAGGAAATTAGTATCAATGTTAAAGACTTGGTAAGCTATTTATTTTGAGGATTTATTTGCTATTACAGTTTTGTCAGTAAAGGCTTCACAGTTTATTAGAAAATTGTGAAACAAACTAGCTTTAGTTAACAATAGCATTGATATAGACAGCTATGCCAACATCCCTGCTAAAGACCAAGAAACATACTTCAAGTGCAAAGTAATCAGTCAGTTTAAATTAGCTCATTATACAAGCCGCTGTTCAATTATTACAATATTTGAAACCAATAGATCTTTGAGTTGGATTATCCCAATCAATCCTCCAGTAGACTCACGCATATCCACAAATAGTACTTTACTAAGCCAACTTTGCAAGAAATTACAATATATTGTCTAGTCTGATTTGTCTTTCCCCAGCATTGGCAAGAAAAAAGCTTGATTAATGATAAAAAAATTTAAAGCATATATGAAAGCTAACTAATTTCATTTTTATTTCCTTCATGAATATGTATCTTTATAAAGTATTTAATTCAAGATTAAAATGGGAATGATTAGAAGAATAAATACAAAATCATATCACTTAGTGTAAATTAAGTTTGTTCATCGTATATCACATTTATATTAGCACATGACATAAGGGCAGAACATGTAAAAAAAGAAAATTGAACCAAAAAACATTAAAGAAAGACATTGAAAATGTTAAGTAAAAGCCTGTTTTACATAAATATTTGATAATTCGTATTTAGCTACTGTAATATATGTATATTAGGATATGTCTTTAAAAATATTGAAAATAGTTTGGCTCAGTTAGTGTACTTGAACGTTTGGATGTAAACGGCAAGTTGATCATGAGTAGAAAAACGTTAATAAGTGCAGATGTTTGATCACATTTAGTAATGTCGTTTTGGAAAATTAATTTGCTTGGAAGAGAAAATAAAAAATTTACCGTTTCTGACGGTCACCTTCAAAATATCAAGTGGCTAAAAAAGAAAGTATTTGTTAGAAATACATGAACTGCGTAGTATATTCGTCTCGATAGTTTAACATTTACTGAACATAAGTTTTATAGGCTTAGAATTCTTTGAAAATAGGACAAAATAGAGGGACTGTTCGTTCTAGTTTATATGATTATTAATAAGTCCGCTAACTCTGCTACTGTATTTACCACGTGACATATAAGCTACTCAAGTTCTTAAAACTTCGATAAGAACACCATTTAGTCAAATGATCAGTCACAAGTACTTCATTGTTTAGAGTAATAACTCACGTGAATATGTTGACTAAGGTAAACCACAATTTATTTACTTCAATAAGTACACAAACATGTAATTTTTGGTACAAAGCTGGATCACAGACTTCTGGTTGATTGGTTTAAATCCATGAATGATTGATAATACAACAACAAATAATGGGTTAAAAAACGTATAAAAGGGTATATATTATTGTAGTTCAGTGAACGAGAACATAGGTGGAGACAACCAAATCTATTTGAACACAAAATTACAGGATATCTTAGTAAAATTTTAGAAGCATACAGTAAATACTTCATTTATAAAATGTCAATCAATTGTCTCAGACTTGACTATTCCTTTGTTACCACACCAATCACTATCTGTTCACGTTCTCTTTTCTCAGATCTTCTTAACCTTCTGCCACCAGACATTTCACTTTCGATTATTGATACATATTACCTATATCTGTCGACATCAGTAGCACTCACAACAGTCGTAGTACCGTGTTGTGTACTGAAATGAATTTTTAATTATTTTACACTAGCATTGTTAGTATATATCATGAACAATCGAGTAAATCCTGATTATTTCATTCAGTTGTTGGTTTGCTTACATGCTGTATCAAAATTCATATTCATTGTGTGAGAATTCAAATATAATTTCTGATCACATCACATGTTGGTCTTTTATTTTTGCAAATCGATACTGTCGGTTTATCGCTATCTGTTTCAAGGTAAACGAGTGGCTGAAGATTATTTCGTTTCACTCGAAGTTAGGAACGCACAAAACCAGAACCTAATTATGTATATATATATGTATATTTATTTATTAGTGTACACGTTAATAGGTTTACTTATTTAAATATACATTTAGTAGTGATATTCAAATCCTCATTCAATCTATGTGTGATCGGTCGCTGACTTAAAGAATATAAACACGGCATTGAACTGCTACACAAGGAACACGAGGCTGATCTTTCTGATACCATCAGGGCACATAAATACAAATTTTGTAAGTAGGGGAACTAATGAGAACTAGATTATTAGTGGAAAATAGTACCCATTCTACATTCTAGGCAACTAAAAATACTTTACTGTAATTGTAGATGATTGTGTAATCTCTATAGAAACATGATTTACGTTTGACCATCCAAATTTCAATGAAATGTTGCAGAATTATGTCCAAGGAAAAAGAATATAGAGTGTATATCATGCTGGGCACATAAGATCATAACGCTGTTTGTTACAAAGATAGTCATTAATCTACTCTATCTAACTGTATAGGATAGTAGTTAAAATGTGAAAATCTGTAACCTTGAGCTCTGATGACACGGATAATACACATTCACCCGGCATTTTCTGTGTAATACATCCAGTCACTTAAACTGCATTATATAATTAACTCCGCCTGTAGCTCCTCTGGGGGTTACTGCCGGTCCCAAGCCCCGGTAAAGGAAGAGGGTTGGGCATGGGGTTGGCGACCCCATCCCGTAGAAAATCAACTCGCTAAAAAAACGCTAACCAGAAAAAATCATTCAAACCTTTCAAGTATATAATTAACCATGAATAGAGAGTACGATACCTTGTTGAATAGACTAAATCATCAGCAAATATTAGGTTTGAAAAAATTAAGAGCATGGGATTAATCATACTGAAATAGCTATTCCTATTATCACTAACCTTCTAAAAATACTTACATTTTGAAACAATTAGATCGGTTATATTTGTTAGTTATAGAAGTCTAATCTTATGATATTGTGAATTTTGCTTATAAATCAAGTTACCGATTAATGTAAAGTTCAACTAAGATTAGTTTTCTCAAAACCTGACTATTAATCAGCATAAATAAAATACGTTAAAGCCGTTGTATTCAGACATAGTTTGTGGTTCATTTTCGCTGCATTATAGACCCTCACCTTTCATTTTTGTATTCTTCTTCATATCATTCTGTACTGGGTTTTTGTTCAGTTATAACAACTTATCTGTCATATAGACATATGATGGACAGCTTATAATTCACCATAAACACTTAGTAGTGGACTATAGTGAAATACCTTAGGTTTACTTTGACCAGTTGCTACAGTAACTACAACCGACCTCGCCTGACTGGGCAGCTGTAGCGTCGGGGAAGATGCTCGGCCGACAAACAAAAACGCGTAGGTTGCTTTACAGTTCGTTTTGTTCCATTGTACGACAGTGAATGGTGGACTTTGAGATTAGAGGATACTTTTAAGTTACTAAAATCTTTTCATAGGTTCCTTAGAAGCATTGCTAAATTATATTTGGACCAACGAGTGAGCGATGCTGTCAGATGCAGTGTACTCATTAAGGTAAGTGAATCAATTATCGAAGTAGTGATTCTTCATTGACTGAGTTGGTTAAGATATATACTAGGTACACCTAAGCACCACTTACCTCGATATTTCCTGATGTGGAAGTAAGTTAAAGGGGGGCAAATCAAGAGTTGTCATCAGCACATGGGGTCAGTGATTTTGGAACTGAGCTATGTACGTAGGTGTAGACTATCTGATTGAGGTACGCGCGATTATCGAAACCAATGATTGGTGATGTGGTGATACGGTTTAGGATCAGTCGTAATGACACAGATACATTGGTCCTGTCTTCCCTTATATCTTTAGTTTCAAAATTATTTCCTGCTTTCAATCGCGCGAATTTATTCATTTAGAATCGTAATATTCGGTTGATTTAAGTACTACCAGAGTTACTGCTTCTACCGCACTGGCATTTTATGGAAATCCTGAACCAATCTACATAAGACCACTATTGAAAGCCAAATCCTTTCCGTTACCATTAATACCGTAACTATCTCTACTAATCTGGTATTCATCTTTATAATTTCATTTCGCTGTGATGATGTGGCGTGGCAAATTGGGTTTATCCACATGCGTTCCAAGTTCTACTTTGCATATAACTGACTTACTGACAACAGTAAGCATAACGTAATTAGTAAGTAATGGTAAACTAAGCATCATAAAGGCAAACGAGTATAATCAGACAGTTTAGAGTATACTATTTGTTACAGTTTCTCAATAGTTTATGTTCATAGATGAAGGCGCCAGATGACAAGAATTACGACGAAAACTTAATGTTTGGAGTGAGAACATTGACATTTCATATTACGGAATCTTTTAATACTACTGTCATAACTATGTCAACCGGTTAGGCAAATATATTACAAATCAATGGTTCTAAAACTGTTTTCTTAAATTAAGGTGAAATTCAAATCTATTAAAAAAAATAACTACAGCTGATAAAGCAAAGAAGTGGGTTGTACAATCAAAACAGTTTCTACTTAAATGAGGTATGGATAGTGGAAAATATATCATGTACGACGCAGAATACATTTTACATATGGGTAATATCAAATGGAAGATAAATAAAATAAGATATTACAAGAATACTGACTGAGAATTTCAAATCTGGAGATAAAGGCACTTGCATAAAATATAAACAATCAACTTAACACACATTAAAATATATAAAAGTTAACTCTTGGAAGTACAAAATAAATGCAACAGTGGGAATAACTGTGAAAAAGATGAACTGGTGGATCTGATGAACTGATACATGATACAACGATTTCTTTTGCATATTGCACTGACCAATATACAATTTTGAAAAATGCAATTATGGACTAACTTATCTTTTATCACATGAGGAATCTGTTGTTTAGTCACTATCCCATGACCAGTTGGAGCTTTCAGGAAAGTTACCGTAAATATAAGAGAATTTTTTCAGTTCACAGTTTTCTTGTTTAGAATAATTAGTTAAAAAAGTGATGGGATTTACAGATTGAACAATGTGTGTCCAGTTAGCCAATACAACTGCTGTTGGTGAAAGGTATTGTCCCAGGGTTTGAGCGATTGCAGCTGGCAGAAAATAGTTTGGTTTTTGAGAATCGAATAATGCAACTGTTTTGTCTGAGCTATTACAAGCCTGAGGATGATGAAACCATATCCCAGATGTTACATGTTTAGTTTGATCCGGTCTACCGGCTAAAACCAACAATGTTGTTAATCCATTTTTATTTGTATAGTTTAAGCTTCCATTATAGCTTGAATCATTTACGGATGAGGAAAGTGGATGGTCGTTTGATTTAACACTATCAGCATTCTGAACGTAAGCTTCTCGAGACAATGATAACTTGTTTTCATCTAATCTATTCAAAAGGTGTGTGGCACAAACAAGACCACGAAAACCAAGAATTTTAGGACATAGATTAAACGTTAGCTCAATATCTTCAGAAGGATGTTGTTCAATAGGATTTAACTCATCGGTATCTGACATCTGAACCGGTTTCCATCGAAGCCATTGGCAGGAAAACGTATCAAAACAATAGTGTGTAGCCTCTAAATCACGAGAGCAAGTCCCCATAGGAAACAAATAAGTCTTATCTAAAACAGAAATATGTTAATAAAACGTGACACTTTTAGAGCTACCTATAACATATCGTAGATGAAAAAATTGGAGGAAACCAGTGGGTTTATATAGCCCTTCTAAACCTCAGTATCTAGAATCATACAGTGAAATGATTGCATGTCCCCGCTTCCTCAGAGATCTCTTCTTTCGGGCTTTCAGAATGCCAACAAACCTCAATGATATGTTTCTTCAACAGACAATTCGAGTAAAGTACAGATTATTGGCGTGAAACGGGTGCGATAAAGGTCAAATGTTTGGTTGTTGAAAATGGGTATAACAAAATCCCAATCTGAAAGAAAATTAGTTTGCCTTATGAAAGTCGATTTTTCTTCTACATGCTTTACACAATCTGTAACAGACATAACAAAAGCTAATATTCGATATACGACCAGTAGTATGGTGTGGTCTACTTATATCCATATAAGTAGTATATGGTGATGGTTAGACATAGGATGTATTTTGGTAGAAGACCGATAAGGAAAGAACAAGAATGAAGCGCAATCGATACGAAAATTCATGAAAAATGAAATCAGATAAGACGGACTGACATTTGCACGAGGAACAGTTAAGATTGAGACAATTGATTGTTATTTTGCAAATTAACTGATGGCTGTATGGTTATCAGGATTTAGTGAAATAGTCTGTAATCTGTGCCTGAATACATTCGAGTGTCCCCAGTCAACATCTTGTTCACTACAGTAGAAGTATAACCTGATATTTATCACACCCATAAAATAAACTATTTTGAAGATCAGTACATTATTCAAAGTAACGGAACATTCCATTTGATAAACCTCTCCAAAAAGAACTGTCAGATCGCTGACCAATATCTTGCCTCTATCTTTGGTGAGCGGTTTAGGGAATTTGGACTCCAGAAGATGAAGTCGCGTCTGAATATCCGCTTTTTTTAAGTAGATTGGTAGTGGCTGGCCAAAGTATAACCAAAATTGTTAAGACAATTACCCGATGTTTGAAGTTTCCTTGTATATTGTTAAGCAGAAAACCGTTCACCTTATTTTTTTATCAAACACCAAGCCATCGGTAACCTGTGGTTTAGATGGACTGGAACAGGTACCAGAAGTAACTAAATCCAGCTAATGCGTTCAACCTAACAGGATTCTGTGAAAAGATTCGAGTAAGAACCCACTCGATAAATCTTTCCCAAATAAACAATAAACGGTTTCAGTACTATGAAGATTATTATCTGATCTCACATGATCTATTCGGTAGAAGCTTTCGAAACTTGAAATGAACGTGAATGTTTTATTATTTTATTATTTAAACACATAAATATTGGTACAAAAAACACCAGATAAATATGCGCCTCACAAATCTCATTCGATTTGTGTGAGGGCTGAAATACTGCCCAGGTCCCCAGACTGAAGCAGGTGGTTTTCTTAGGGGGCCACACCCGGAACCTTTGACCTAAAAGCCTAACCCACAAGGCAGTGGAGCATCGTGAGGAGATGCAATCCCATGGTAGCCGGTGACCAACAATAGGTTCATACGCCATTTCTTCCCTCAGGATACTGGGGTCCATGTGCACCATCGGTTTGGAATCAGGGTTTTCCAACTCCCCTAGGTGGACTATCCGTGTCCACCAACCCTGTTGAAGCGCCGGACATTCGATTTTCGTCCTCTCAATTTCGTAAACAACACCCCCGCCACGAGAAGTCAGTGAGTAGGACTTCCCTGGCAGTGGCTATATTACGCATGGCCATGTGAGAGTATTTCGAGAGGGAGAGCGGACTCTCCCCATTCTCGGCCATACCAGGGCATTTGGGGGCAACGTGAATGTTCATGTAAGCGTCACAAATCAGCAAAACTAATGTTGAAGGTCGACAACAACATAACAGGAAAGAAGACAAATATCCTTCTGGTGTATTTGAACATATTTTTTAGTGGAGAGAAAAATTTTATTTAGCCGTATTTTTTAAAACACACACTGGTAATAGGTGACGGGAATCTAAATAAACTATCCCTAATGAACATAAATAATACTTAATAATAATCAAAGAACTTACCACTAAAGTTGCCTTGCAGAGAACAACTGATAGCCAGCAAACGGTACATTCTGATGAGGAAAGGTGGGTTAGGTAGATTTTCTACAAATAATGCATCTCCATCAGGTCGCGGACGAAATCGAAAGAACTGTGACCGAAGTGCTGAAGTTTGATGAAGCCCGTGACGTGGGTGTCTGGAATTACTCGACGAAACTGTCTCAATATTAGCATATACCCAGTCGTCAGGTGAGATCGAATTTAACTGTTCAATTGGTGTAAATAACATCATCCCATTTTGGTTCCTAGATAAACAATAAGGTTCCATCCCATACCAGTTCCAAGTGCTCAGATCAAATCGAAATGCACACAACCATGCGACCTCTTGTATAGAAGAAAGATAGTACATGTAAAGACCGCTGGACAATGTAGTTACACCGATACGTCTAGATCGGAAGCAGAAGGAATTGATAGTACCATTTCTGTTGTTGGTGGGAGAAAGAAGCAAACGAGGGATGAGTTTTGCACGACAAGAAGCCAAACACCAAGCAAAGCCATTTAATGTTGCATTGTTTGGATCAAAACACATAACAAACAAATTAGTTTGATAAGAACCAGATCCACACGTTACTGGACAGAAGTAAATACGATGATCTATGTCGCCAACACCAGAGGAGTCCAGATCGAGTTCCCGTAAACAATTATCAGGTATGGGATAGTTATGATACGCTCCATTGTGAAGATTGAAAAGCCAAAATTCTAATGAGTTGCTAGAACGACTTGGAGCTAACCCAAGTAAACACAGAGATTCGGCTCTAGGCTTTAATAGCAAAAGCTGGAGTTGAGAAGCTAACGGAGACTTGCAAAAAATTCCTCCATTTGGAATACTTCTGAAAAATACTTCCATATCTTCATATGTCAGCTTCCCAAACCACTTCAACTCAGAATGTTGGTTGCGCCAATAATCTAATAACTTTTTTTGACCATCTAGTGAAAGAAGACCGGGACGGACGCATTGCAAAAAGCACTGAACAGTATTTTCTGTATAAAACTCAGTTGGTTTCAATATCTGTAACCAGCCAAGAACAATATTTAAAATTATATCTTCATCTGGTATGCATATGACACTCTTCGACAAATAACTTATAGCCAAATTAATAAGATGCTGTAAGTTTGAATCTGAAAGACAGGGTCTGAGGATAAAATGAGGGTATTTTATAGTGTATTCAGAGAACAGTTTGTTAACACAACCATTTTCACGGTGGGACACTTTCGCAAACTCTTTTAATATTACTGAGAATATATCGCAGCTATGTGATTCATGAAGTTGAATGGATTTTGGTTGAAATAACTCGTTCATGATATGAGATATTCTCTGTACACAAGTTTGAATGAGTTTGGGCATTTGAAAATAATCTGCTGCATCAGCCAAATCCAAAGCTTCTAAAATTTTCAACGTCTCTGGACAAGAACTGTTTAATCCACTGCTATGGTTGTTTAAAGAATCATCCCGAATAGTTAATTCAGGTCGCAGAAACTGAACAACCATAGCCAACTGGTGAGCGGTGAAATTAGGAAAACTAAACTGGCTTGTTTTGGTTTCAGTCATCCCGCTTTCAAAAGCAGCATAAAAATATAGACTAGATTTAGTTAATACATCACGAGGTACCTGAAATGAACAGAAAACTATTTATTGAACAACTAATGGGATAGAACTGATCTAAAGAGTACAACTAACTTAAAATAATAGTCTGTTTATGTACAACATTCGACAGCCCCTAGTTGAACCGGCGCTAAACTTATTTTCAATCATCTAACCCCAGAAAAAACTATTGAACTGTGATTTAATGTTTACAGTTCGTAAAACAGGAATCAGTTCGATGAGATCTAGCTACTCATCTTTTTGCTTATAAGTAAAGCTATATGAGTAGACGTTTCCAGTCAGTCAGTCACAACGTAGAACTTCGTACGTACGTACATCAGTTCGAGTTGCCATACCACATTAGCACAGAGATGCAGTTGTCGATTCAAATCCCATAGTGGTAGAAGTAGTAGGAGTATAATCAGAAATCCAAAAGATTAGGGTTTGAAGAAATTATTGAAGGAGTATAGTACAGTGAAATAAATTTGGAAAGAGAAAAATATAAAGACATGAGGAATTCAGAAGATTAGAATTTCGTAGGACACAAAGAGTGGATGCATCTTCGCCATTGCAAACGATTTTGAGCCATGTCATTCAAGGTCTCTAACCATCGGTTGCTGTCACCTCGCGAATCCCAACCAGGTAGTCTACACCTACCAACATGGCCCAGTCCACTTGTCAGTGACTTCATTGATTTGTGCCACGTTTTGGTCTGGCCACCCCTAGCTTTCTTCCAACCTACTCCTACACCACGAAACATTGCACGTCGGGGCAGTCGGTGGTCGGGCATACGTAACACATGTCCCAGCCATCTCAACTGATGAAGTTTCACTACTTCATCAATCGATTTGCCATCCCTACCTAGTACCCGTTTCCTAACAACTGCATTACTTACCCGGTGGTCCCAGGATATACGAGCAATGCTTCGAAGACACCTATGATCGAACACTAGTAGCCTTCGAATATCCTCTACTCTTATTGGCCATGTTTCACTGCCATAAAGTAGGACGGAACGAACTGCTGCACAGTAAATGCGTTCTTTGGTTGCTAGACGGATATCTCGCCTACGCCATAAGTGACGCAAGTTGGCGAAAGCTAGACGAGCCTTCTGTATCCGTGCTGAGATTTCGTCACACACCAGACCACAAGGGCTGATGAGACTCCCAAGATAAGTGAAGTGGTCTACACGCTCAACTACTTCACTCCCTATCATTAGTTCAGGTGTCGATGCAACCCAATCCTGAAGTAACATTTTGCACTTCGAGGGAGAGAATCGCATTCCGAACATGCCTGCATAGTTGCTTATAGTGGTCAGAAGACTCTGCATGTTGTCAGCGTCTTCACCGAGTAAAACTATGTCGTCGGCGTATTCTAAGTCAACAAGTGAGCCTCCTGGTAAAAGTTCAACTCCTGGAGGTTTAGCTGATGAAAGTGCTATTTCTAATAGTATGTCAATGACAAAGTTAAACAAGAATGGGGAGAGTGGACAGCCCTGACGAACGCCACTTGTGGTAATCAGTTCTGATGACAGTTCGCCATAGGCTCTAACTCGACCAGTTGTGTTCGAGTAGAGAGCCTTCATGAGGTTAATGTACTTCTTTGGTACTCCTTTCAGTGACAAACATTGCCATAGAACCTCACGATCAACGGAGTCAAATGCCGCCTTAAGGTCAAGAAATACTACTATTGTGGGACGTCTGAATTTGTGTCTATGTTCTAGAACCTGACGTAGGGTGAATATCTGGTCTATGCAACCACGTCCAGGTCGAAAACCAACCTGGTTTTCTCTAGTCTGCTCTTCACGAGCTTTGGTTAGTCGACCTAGTATTATTGAAGCTAATATTTTAGACACTATATTAGTCAAACTGATCCCTCTGTGATTGTCACAGGAGGACTTTTGTCCTTTCTTATAGACTGGCACAATCAGTGATTGGGACCAGTCAGATGGAATTACGTCCAGTTCCCAGATTCTACCTAAGACCTCAGTCAATCTCACTGCTAGTACTGGACCACCATCCTTAAAAATCTCAGGGGTCAACCTGTCAGGGCCTGCTGCTCTCCCTCGCTTCAGATTTCCTATAGCTTTTTCAACCTCACAGAGGGTTGGAGGACTTACATCAATTTGCCATTCAGGACGACTGGGGATCGTGGGTAATTGAAGTGTGGCTGAAGGCCAGTTGAACTGATCCCTAAAGTGTTCTGCCCATCGATCCAACCTCCTGGATTGAGAATGAATAATATGCCCATTTTTATCTGAGATGGTTTCACTGATATTCGGGTTCCTAATACCGGTTTCTTTAACGAGTCTGAATAGCTGCCTACTGTTACCTATTGCCGCTGCCTTTTCCATCTCTGTTGCTTTCGCTACCCACCACTGTTCACGATCATTACGTAGGCTTCTTATAAGCCTGCGCTTAAGTTGACTCCGCTCTTCGTTATGCTCAGAGCCAGGTGGGATGAGTTTACGAGCATCTATCAGTGCGGTAGATGCTGCCGAGATCCATTGTTTCTCCCTAACGTTATGGTTTACCTTATTAGCGGATATCACTGCTGTTTCCACAGCTTTTCGGATGTCATTCCACGCTGCCTCGGGGTGGACACATCTTACATGGCTGCCTAACTGTTTTTCTAGTTGTAGGTGTCATTACCAAGACTTGATTTGATAATTTTGAATAAATTGAGCATTGGGTAGATTGTTATAAATAAATTATATATTTGTAATATCCCAATGAGTAGAAAATCTAATTTTTCTAACTAATTTTTCTACTCATTGGGATATTACAAATATATAATTTGTTTTTCTAGTTGTTCCTGAAATATATTCTTAGCTTGCCTGTCATTAAGTAGAACCCTTAGAGGCTTCCCTGCAGTGTCTTTCCTACGACCAGTAAGACGCAGACAGATACGTGCTCGCACTAGAGCATGATCTGAATCTGACGTTTATACGTATGAGAACGTACACTGTTTTTCACAGATAAGTACACCGTTTAAATTAAGTCATAGATAATTAAAAAATCTCGGAATATTTTATGCAAAAATTTCACAAAACTTTATGACTCTAACATTAGAAACTTTTTGTAACACTTGGTAAACAGTTCAATAACTGCACAGATAATGTACTTATGAATGATATTTGGTGGTATATATTACTTTCAATTTGGATCTATGCATCAACAACAGCACTTTAAAATGAGCTACATTCTTGCCAAAATCCATAAAATTAGAAACGACGTTAGTCTGCTCAACGAAAGAACTCCATCTCATCTTAATGATAATTGAAAGACATTTATCACTAGTATGTTTGAGGCAAAGCGAAATTCAATGGCCAGCAATAGACTGGACTACTTCTTAATCATCCATCGCCTGACTTTTTCCGCACATCACAACCATATCTCATCCGGACGATATTTGTAGTGTTTTGTATCCTTTAATCAAGAATTTAATATTTTTATCGACAGTACAACTCATCCCAATGACTGTAAGATTGTTGACCCATAATTAGCCGTCTTATTTTGAGTTGAAAAAGATTTACGGGGTTTATTCAAACAGCCATAAAATGAGTGAGTACGTTTACAATAGCCAGCTAACATGCATCGACATTGAATGCTTACATAAAAAAGGGCTTTGAGCATAATCAATTGGGGTATTAACTGATTAGTCTTAGAAGTTGGCAAAAGATCTTTCGGAGCATTTTATGGTAGCACAGAAAGCTAGGCGAAAGTTAAGTATTAATAAGAAGCAAATAGATGAGATATAGAATGATTTTGGACAAAACTTCGTTGCGCTACATTGCTTATGACAACGAAACCATTCAGAATTGTACAAATGCTTAAATGGATGACAAAAAGTCGGAATCAATAAGGAAGTTTGATTTCAGTAACCTGGTTTTGTCAGAGGATGACAAGGACATGTAGAAGACCTATCTACTTCAACTTCGCTTCTAAATCAACAAACAGGCATTGTCGTGTTACATGTATCATTACACTGGCAATAAAATTCTGCATATGGTATTTATGCTTTCTATAATGGGCTTGACGGCCCTGTGAACTAATTAGAGACAGGCTATTCATAACGGAGCAGCAGTTTGCACTACTAAAGAAATTAGGAAGGTCTCAACATTTCTGTGAAACTTTACCTGATACACTGCAACTTAAGAATGCTGATACGCGTATGTGTTTGACGAACAGATATTAAGTTAGTGATAGATCTTTTCAACTTCTTCTACGACGAGTGACGAAAACCCTTAAATCTCTTCACCTAATATTACTGCAGAATGTGATGACCTTATATCAGGGTTGTATCTTAGATAAAAGTCCATGCGTCTACATTTTACCTTCTTGGTTCCCCTAAGATTATCCATGAGATTATAATAGGAAGGTTCAAAGGCCATTGTAGGAAAAACTCAAGATGAGATTTAGTTTTTCTAATCGAGTGATCAACGACCGAAACACTGCCTGAACAAATAATATCAGTCCCTTCGGTGAAAACTTCTATTGGTACTGGGTTTTCACTAGAGAACACAAAGGTCGAAAAACAGAACGAACCCATTGCTGGACTGATTTGTTCTGTCGGAATGGAAAATGCAATGACTGGATTTCCTGGTAAGGTAGTAGACCCAAAACGGCATCAATGTCAGAATAAATACATTTCCAGCCGGAACACACCAACTATTTCACAAAGGACAGTGATTATGGCTTAGATGAATCATGATTGTAAGCCTACATGTATGAATGCAAACCAAACTATTCATATCCAAATACTACAGAATTACTAAAATTTATTCGTGAAAATTAGGCGAAGTAGACGACTTACTAAAAAACTTTGGTTTTCCGCTATTAAAGTTATTAAGCCACTTGCCATGTTTCAACTCAATATCAACTGATATTTATATGACACAATTATACGTGTGATATGCAACGCGACCAGATGGCTACAAGTGCCTTGAGCAAATCTTCCGATGGAATTTGAGTATCTGAGAGCTTGTTTGGAGCCTGAAAGTATGTTGAGAAATTTTATAAAGTAGCATACAAGTAATCTGGTCAAGAAAAAATAGCAGTGAGCCGACGACTCAGTAGGTACACATGATGCACATGTGTTTAATTGTCAAAGTAACCAAAAAAAAAGTTACCAGTAGAGTGAAAGTGAAATTAGAAGAACCTGACAATCGAAACTACAGGTTAGCAGAGTAGGCGCCTTAACATGTTGCACAAACAACTTTATAACGAAATTACGCATATGTCAAACAGTGCGCGTTTATCCATATACTACAACCTCTAAACTTATTCTGTCCAAGGACATAAAAGTACGACTTTAAGTAGTTTCGAACAGGGCTTTGAGGAATAAAAAAACCTTTGCCTGATTTGCCGACAAAAATTCAGCTATGTATGTTTTTGACTATCATATTCAAAATTATCAGATGTGTAATGACGACATAAGACCCATGGCCTGTTTTAGTCATTTTCTAACTTCTGAGGATGTCTCATCATTCCTTTGATGGGTCAGCCAAAATTGTAAGCGCTGCGTCTTCGAAGAATAAGTTTCAATAGTTGATGAAAAGGTGTGAAAACTGGTATGCCACAGGTATTTTGTTCGTTCTTGGCTTTTCTACTCGCCTGCAATGTCCTCTGAGACCCAGTAGAAATAAAAGAAAGAAGACATCACATGCCAAATCACTTCTCTTTATCCTTTTGTGGAATCGCATGAGTATTTTTATCATGTATTTTTTCTGGGACATCAGATTCACCTTTGAATTAGGAGTTTGCGGACTGAACTCAATTTTTTAGTTTTGATTATACTGAGGTCGCTTATGCTGCAGTGATCACATTAATGTCCAACTTGATAAATGTTCGTCGTAAAGACCGTCGGATTTTGAAGCCCTTATCTGCGATCTCACGTTAATGAGCCATGGTCTTAAGGTTGTGACTCAATGCTACCCTGAGATCACTGTGGAGCTGGACAACGGGTACCAACAAGTTCCAACGATAGCTGTTAATGTTCTAAGCGAAAGTAGGTTACCATCTAAAGGTCTGAAAGATTCTTTTTGAAGGTTTTGAGTATGAAAGTCCCCCCATGTACAGACTGTTGTGATTTATTCTTCTTGATTCTTCTAGATGTATATTTTGTTGATCTTTCGATCCCATTTGAGAATGTACTATTTATATTTTGCCCCAGTCCTTTTCCTTATACCTTCACCGGACTCATATGTGTTGCCTGAGCTATATCTATGTTATTTTAGCTGATATTTATTTATGGCAGCTGACGTATTGGTTCGCTTCCCTTTTCGGTCGCGCTGCCCGAGTTGACTATAACCGTGCATTTTTGAATATGAATCGAAGCACTGTTCAAGATCTTGAAACAATTGGTGTTGTAACACATTTAAATATTATCTTTCGAACAATCTCTGCGTAATCTATCCAGGAAGGGTATAATGAAAATTTTGTGTTGACAGGAACATTTATTTGTTTCATTCAGTAGTTCCCTTATATCCCTTGTTGATTTATCTATTAAATGTAATTAAAATTTGACGACTGATTGAAAAATAGTTAGTTAAACAACTGGATAGTAATATTTGTTAAGCTAGTGATGTACATTTCAATTTATAATGAAATTTAGGACCGCCATCTACCCGTTTGTCTTGTTTCGGTTTCACCTGAGCGATAACACGTACCTAAACCGATCTAGACGGTTACTCCTCATCCCAAACTTTTTTTATTTGGGAGCTACACAAGCAACTCAAAGAAATATAGATGCAGAACTTTACCTCCATCGAAGATGCAAATCAATAAAATCTAATAGCCGAGCCCCCATCAACCTTGATGGAACTAGAGAACTTCGTACACCACACCATAAAGATTCAGGCCATAATAACAACCGCAGAAATGGTCGAGCTTGGTGAAATAAATCCATTACAATGCTATCACGACTAATGAAACGACGTGTAGGAAAACCTAAATGCAATTCCAACCCACTGGCTAGACGAAGCGTCCTCAGAATCTTCAGAAACCAAGTGTTGCGCAATGATCCCAACAACTATCGAAGTATATTCCTACTTGATGTGACAGGAAAGACATTTACTGGAGTGATCTGTCTAAGACAACCAATCAAATAAACCTTCTATAGTGTGTGCTATTGATGTCGACAGATATAAGCAGTATGTGTCAAGGGTTACCTAGAAGGTTCAAATCTACACTGTACCATCCACAGAGGAATAAGACAAGGAAATAGAGAAGGCACAATATTGTCTAACCTAGCCTTCAAATAAACTCTCAATTCCACAATAGGATGGATAACGAATTGCCTTAAACTAACTGATAACAACAACACAACCTGAACATTGCCACACGCTGCGTACGTTGATGACATATATCTCATCACAGAAACAGACGGCGAAACTACAAAAACCTTCACTTCTCTCCAAAACCACCTAACAGAACTTGAAATGCAAATTGGCTACAATAAAACCAAGGCCATGCTAATCAATAGACAGAGCCATGACCTACAGATAACCAATAGCAATCACAAACCCGAGAATGTAAGAGCATTTGACTACACTGGGCCAATCGTAATGAATGATGGAACTCCTGGTGACATAATCAAACCAGAAATTGGTGAAACAAAACAGCAACAAGTGAAGTCAGACCGACATTAGGCTCGGCAAACATCAACCTATGAACAAAAATTAAGTTGATGGATTGTTCGATAATCCCCATCAAACCGATGGACCTGAGACCATAGCTATAAGAAAAAAGGACTGGACTGGATTAGGTGCAGTTCCATTTAATGCTCGATGAATGATTCTTGCAATCAACAACAAAAGACAGTTTGCAACTAACCTACCGCATGAAAGCATAGCACTCTCTAACCTTGCACTGAAAATACTGCAAAGCAAGCTAAACCTGGGGAATACAGCTCATGGTGGACTAAATAACCTAGTGAGGAGGTCTTCAAGCAGTCTTCTAAGTAGTACAAGTCACAGTAGATCATGTTATATAAAAAGATGGCTGCGACAGCTGACACACGGCCTGGATCAACTTGGTGACTGACTTCCTCGGCAATAGATAACACATCCAACGAAAATAAAAAACAAGTTTGTATGATCATAACCCTAAAAATAGACGAGCGCAACGTAACGTACAAATGCAGTAATATTGACTGTCAGAGGCCATTTACAAAACACCTAATACCCGAGAAGAAACTTAAATGTCCTTCAGATGACTGCGCGAACATCTACAAAGATCCGGGATGTTTCAAAAGGCACGCTAAATCATGTCATCCTCAACCAATCCAAGTAACGACAAACACTTCTGCAAAACCAAGGAATAAGAATTCAAGAAATGCCAACATCCAGAAGAACTAAAAACAGGACGGCAGATACATACGGCAATCTGAAGGAGCGCCAATACCCTGGATGCAAAGAAAAACTGACAATCGTTGAGTTCTTAATCGATCATTGTTATGTTGCACACAAATAGTTATCCATCACAGAAGAAGAGGTAAGATCAGAAGCACCAAAATCTACCAGAACCGACAAAACAACTATTGAGTCTTCGTAGTTGCTCTGTGCTTCTATGTACTCCTTCCCTCGAAAACGGCCTACTGGCTCCATCAACTAAGTTTTGCTGAAAAAAGCCCACACACATGACTGGAGACATCGCCGTAAGTAAAAAGGAGATATTTTTTCGGAATAAGTATATAAGTATGAGCATATTAAATTTTTTTATAATATATGATACACAGGAAAATCGGGATAAATTTCGTGTCCTACGTGCAGTAGTTGTTTAAATGTTCCGCAAATCTTACTTTCCCTCCAGAACGCGTTGTCCTAAGTTTATTTTCAGACGCTGACGAAGTATCAATATGCGTGTCGGCTGTCAAATGAGGTATTACAAGTGTACAAACAATGTCGTTCGATTGTACAGAAGGGAAATCGAAGCGGATAGGATTTCCTTCTAAATACGTTGCTTTGAGGCGATCGATACTGATGCTATCGTTAGTGCCCTTCTTATCGACTTCATAGTACTTAGACTCGCGCTGAAGCACTTCGGAGGGTCCGTTGTATGTTAATTTGAGAGGTCATCGATGTGATTCTCGACGCACGAAGACGCGTGTGCTATGTCGTAAGTCAGGTTGAACGAAAACATCAGTTGACTGCGGCCGATTGTGAGCAGAATCGACTGAACGCACTGTGTTTGTAAGCCTGCTCGTGTAAGAGTTTAGATCCATGTTCAATGAAGAAGCCGAAGGATCTACGAATTCTCCTGGGAGTCGGAGTGTCGTTCCATAAAACGAGTTGAGATATAGTGTATCCAATATCAGCCTTCACTGCATTGCGGATACCTAGCAAGACGAGCGGAAGAGCGTCTGTCCATTGTGAAACGTTTGTAGCTGATAGTGAAGCTTTTAGTTGTCGATGAAAGCGTTCTACCAACCCGTTTGCTTGTTGGTGGTAGGCGGTCGTCCGGAAACGCGTGATTCCTAATAGTGAGGTCAGACAACGGAAAATTCCAGATTCGAACTGGCGTCCGCGGTCTGTAGTTATGGTTAAAGGGCAGCCAAAATTTGCCACCCATCGTTTGACGAAAGCGCGAGCCACTGTTTCAGCAGTAATGTTCTTAATCGGTGTTGCTTCTGGCCATCGAGTGAAACGATCTACGCATGTTAAGAGATATGAATATCCGTTTGAATCGGGTAAGGGTCCTACCAAGTCTAAATAAACATGGTCGAAACGAGCATCAGGGGTTTTGAAAGAGCCTAAGGGACATTTGTTGTGTCTAATGACCTTAGATTCCTGGCAGCTTACACGGGAGCGTGCCCACCCCCTCACGTCTTTATTCACACCAGGCAAGCAAAATTGTTCGGCTATGAGCTTGATGGATGCATGCACACCTGGATGATAAAGTTTGTGCAACGTGATGAAGACGTTGCGTCGATAATGTTTCGGCACGATTGGGCGATCCTTACCTGTAGATGTGTCGCATAATAAGGTTTCCTTACCTGTTCCCATCTGTTTAATGCTCAGTTTTAGAGTTGTTGAGTACAACTCGTGCTGAGATCAGTGTCTTCTGTTTGAAGCTGGGCGAGTTTAAGAATGTCGATACCTTGGAAACTGTTCAAGGGAGTTATACGGGACAAGGCGTCTGCAACTACATTGTTTGCTCTAGAAATGTGTTGTATATCTGAAGTAAACTGTGAAATGCAGCTCAGTTGTCGAGACTCTCGGGGTGAGTACTTGTCTGAAGATAAGCTTAAAGAGAAGGTAAGATGTTTGTGGTCGGTAAAAAGGGTGAATTATCTGCCGTCGATAGAGTGTCGGAAATGCCGTACAGCACAATACATGGCTAGGAGTTCCCTACCGAACGTGCAGTACCTCGATTCAGTGTCTAGCAACCATCTCCAGAAAAACCCATTGTTGTAAGACTCCTCCGATTGCTGAGTCGTATGCGTTTACTGAGATACTGATGGGCGCTTGAGTGTCCTGATGTGGTTGGCTATGCGATAAGCTCCTTAATTGTAGAGAATGCTTTTCGCGCGGTGTCGTTCAGATCAATGGATTTCTCATTCCCACGGAGTTGGTCGGTTAACGGTTTCATAAGGGATGGGCATTTCGGTATGAACCGTCCATAGAAACTTACAAGACCGTTAAATGTGCGCAATCGCTTAATCGTGGTCGGTTCTGGGCAATGCAGAATGGCCGCCACTTTGCTTCTAAAAGGTCGGATGCCATGGGCATCAATAGTGTGTCATAAGAAGTCTAAGGAGTTTGTTCCGATTCGGCATTTATGAATGTTGACAGTAATGTCATACTTTAGAATTTGTTCGAACACAATGTCCAGATGCCGAAGATGGGATTCTCTGTCCGGACGTGCTATCTAGCAGTCATCAACATACGCATGTATGAAGTTGAGACCTCGGAAAACGTCATCCATTAATCTTTGAAAGGTTTGGGCGGCATTTTTCAGTCCCAAAAGCATTAGCGAAATTTCGTAGAGTCCGAAGGGAGTCATGATGGCGGTTTTTGGAATATCGTCAGTAGCCATAGGGATTTGGTTATAGGCTTTAACCAAGTCGATTTTCGAAAAGACAGTTGTACCTTTCAAGGTAGCTGTCAAATCGTGAATGTGAGGCAACGGGTAACCATCAGGATTGGTTTCGCATTCAGACGCCGATAATCACCAGTTAGACACCAATCGTTGCTGTTCTTTTTAGGGACCATGTGTAAAGGAGATGCCCATGGGTTATTTGACGGTCGGATGATTCTTAAATCTATCATGTGATCGTATTCGTTTTTAGCCAATCTAAGCTTTTCGTGAGCCAGTCGGCATGCTTTCGAGAACACAGGTGGTCCTGTAGTCGAGATGTGATGTGTAACATGGCTGGTTACACATGGCAATTTCGGTTGTGGTTGATATATCCCGGAGTATTTATCGATTAGTGGTTGATACAAGGGGTCTATGGTGGGCCTAATTGTGACTGGAGATAATTTGCAACGAGAAAAAGGAGTTACGCAAACAGATAACTTAGTGTTTCCGTCTACTAACCTTCGTTTGCGTGTGTCAATGAGTAGATTGTGGTGTTGTATCAGGTCTATACCAACGATTGGCATAGAAACATCTGAGACCACGAAAATCCAGTGTATGGGTTTGCGTAAACCCATATTAAAGTAAACGTACCTTTTCCCATATGTGGCGATCAGCTTTCCGTTTGCTGCATGTAAGCTTAAAACAGACTCCTGAAGCCCGTCGTTAGAATTCGCGGGAAGAACGCTAACTTCTGCGCCGGTGTCGACGAGGTAGTGAACTTTCGTAGTCACACCTGTGACGTTTAAAAGGTGGCTATGTTCGCCGGCTACGAATGCCGTTAACGCGTGCCGGCTGGGAAGTTTTACGAGTTGTTTTTCGTGTCGATGGATTTGGAGTTCGGATAATTACAGGGCTTTCTGCAATTTCTGGAGGAGTTTGCATGCTGATTATGATACCAGCACCAGTCGAGGTTATCTTTCTCTCGTGTTCTGGAGACAGATCGCCTACGTAAAGTGGTTCTTCGAGGAGTATGTGACCGTTTACGATCATTACGAAATCGTAGGAAACGTATCAGTGTATGACACAGATCCGAAATGTCATTCTGCTTTTCTTGAGGTTTTTCTTTGACGGAAAATACCTCGGTGTTAGAGGTCTTCGTGATTTCTAGGATGCAGTCAGCAGATGCAGCCAGCACGTCTACGGCATTGTTTTGAAACGAGACGAGAACTGCTTGCACCTGTTGCGGAAGTTAAGATGAGAAAAGTTGTTTGAATAGGCCTTCACCAAAAGTTCTTTGGCCAATAACTTCTCTCAACGATAGCAACATATCTGTCGCGGAGCCATGTTGCAGGTCGATACCATTAGGGAGTTGATCTAACTGTTGTTGATCGGTTAGATCTCCACGTTTAAGAATTGATCGTTTAAGAGTTTCGTAAGGTTCCAAAACATCATACTAGGTGTATACTAGGTGTTAAGCACCTGTTGAAATCGTGCGCTAGTGTCTTTACAACCGCGAGGAACTATGCGCGTCCATCAGTAATGTCGTACTCATGAAAGTCGGCTTCCGCGTAGCGGAACCAGGCTTCGATGATGTCCGGCCAAAAAGCCATTGGTTGAAACGAGGGTGGTGTAAGAGTCTTAATCTTAAGGAGCTTGAGAGTCTGATCAGTCATGGCGCGTTTAAAGTATAGGAATGAGCGAGGAAAATAATTATCCCAAAATACGAAGAATATATCACAATATATAAAAAAAAATAAACCTAAGCAATGGTTTATGAAGTTCCTAAAGAAACGGGCTCTCAGTTTATTGTTTGGTGTACCAGATCACGTCGGGCTCACCACTGAAGATACCACCAGTATTGTAGTTTTACAACACTTTTCTAGTAACACCTATAATCGAATCGCTCCCGCCCAGTTAGATCAGAAGTCAGAGGAGGTTGAGAGATATATATCGAGAAATGACTGATATAATCTGGCTAATGATCGTAGGAGATGTTGCGCACGCCGTTCTAAAACGTGATCCGGTATGGATGCATGACCGAGAGCCTTCAGCTAAATGATTCAAATAAAACTAATGTGGTCAGCATCCAATTTCGAACACTTACAGAACTATTGATTTCGGGCATTTATTTTCAGCTACACTAGAGTCAACAAACTGTGTCTCCTTAACAAAGTTGGTAGTAATGGCATCTTTTGAACAATTATCTAAAATTAATCGATGTTTATCTTGGTTCTAGATATGCACTAAATACTGTAAGATTTCTCAATACTGATTCCGGGCTTCTAACAAAAATGAACTCAAGGTCATTGAGGGAAAAAGTTAAGCACATCAAAATGGGCAGATGGACTTTTATGCTATTTAGTCATAATTCATTCAAAATGAACTAGTGCTGGATCAGCCACTGCTTTTATTACCGTTTATCTAATTCACCAGCAACGCCTATGTTGGTTTTTCATAATATATAAAGATATAAAACTGCAACCAAAAGTGTGATTTTAGCGCAAAGTTGTTGTTTAATTGTATATATAATTAAAGTGCAACTAAATCAGTGAGTCGATAAAACGTAATACACTTTACTATTTATCTGGAATGTCATCAATCAAAACACTAGGTCAGGCTGTGACAAGGCACAAGAATACAGCTATAGAAAGTGGAAAGTGTCTTAAAAGTCATCATGAATAACGGATCTGTCGGCATAAAGCTCATGACAGTCATTTTACACAACATAAATTGGTAAATATTCAACGCAAGATTCTTGGAATATTGTGTGGACACAGTAAAGAGTCTGTAATTTACGATTCCATATCTTGGATCAGCATATTTTTTTTCTATTTCTTTTAGTTTTATCAAGTTTCAACGATTAAGTATATCTTCTAAGGTAGGCCCTATGTCAAATAATACATTCGTTAATGTAGTGGCTTATATAAAGTCTTAGTGTACTTTAGGTACTGGGATGGCGTATTTGAAGATGGAAAAAATCAAACCGACGACTCAGTAGTCAAATAATCCTCAGACCTCAATAGACAAAATATATCTAAAAGTGGTGATGAAAGCAGTGGACAATCATCAGCATTGGTGTGAATCTAACACACTTCGACAATCACTACCAGAATCGTCGGTATAAGATATCTCATCAGTTACAATTGAAGATTTGTGTTGTACGTGCATTTTGGGTCGTTCATCAATTGATAACTTAACACCACAAAACAACAGGTTCGAAGAGTGAAAATCGACTTTTTAGATCCGACTTTTGGAATCGACATTCGAAACCTAGAAAAACAATCAAACAACAATAAAAGGACACAAAACTTCTTAATCAAACATTGTGCGTTGAATGTGCAGGAGCACATTCAAAATAAACATTGCTTTCTCGTTTGTTGGTGTGGTTTGGATTATGTAGTTAATTTCACTTCACGCAGTGACTCCTAATAAGCTATTTATTGAAATTATTATCGAAGTTTAGGAAAGACCTTTTTAGAATTAATCAGGCTTGTGTAGCAATATCCTTACTCATCATATTTTAACGAGGATATCTATATTCACATCCCCATGTACTATGACAATATTGAGAACTAAAACTAACTTAAGCAGCACTAGCCAGCCATTCTGTGGTACTAACTTTTAATCAACCATTATGATTTTCGTATTTCAATTAAATTAAAGGAAGTCCTGATCTGATTTTGGGGAATTTAGGGGTGTATTCTTGAAGTCATGACCATTTGTAGATACCCCGAAAGTGTAAGGAAATGTTAAAGAGGACTCGGAATTCCGAAAGGTTTTAGGGATTTCCCCGAATTAACTTAAAGTTTAAAAAAATTCAGACGAAACGAAATTTTGTTATTTTTTTCTCAATTCCCCATAGTGTTCTATTGCAGCTTTCCTAAAATTGAGAGACTTTGATATCACTTGTATTAACCTACAATGTAGTGGACTAATCTGTTCAGTTTAGCCGAACATGTAGAGATTGTGTAAAAAATCAGTTGCTTTACTTGTTTTTATTGCGGAACATTCGACGACTCGTCGTTAACTGTGTAGCGTGGTCAATTTAATGTTAATTAATACCTAATTGACTCCGATAATACTATTTGGAAAAAGTGGTTCAGTTTTATTTTTGGAGAAAAGTTAAGGCGTTATTTTCGAGGCATTTCACCTCAATGAAGAAATTTAAGGGGAAACCCCCACTATCACCTTTCATGGTGGAGAATAAGGTAACAATTTGGTGCATTGTCACATACATACATGCATCTCGACATTTAATTAATTTTCCCAAAACCTTTGTTTTTTTGTTGCTTGGATATTATTTCCATAGTGCACTAATAATGAAATAACAAAAGACATCCATTCTAGGTTGCTCTCATGGAGTTCTTTATTCCCTCACTAAACTTCTGTAGAAGGCAGACATTTGCTTCACATTATCTAAAAAACAACTTTTTCTACAATAAACTCAGCGGCATTTCTAGACCAGTTTTATTCTATATGTTTGGCTAATCATATGTATAAGTTCTTTAATTTCAAGTCATCGTATTGACTCTTAGACGAAAAATCACTTCGTTCTGTTCTTACCTTGTGTCACAAATACCACACCAAATATTCTTTCTATCTGAAAGTGGTATTTGACTCCACTTACTTGTATCAGACGAGCAATCTTAGGTCTGTTCAAAAGTAAAATTAGCATTGTTATCTCCATTAAGATAATATTTGTGACTTATATTGATTCTATGCTTCGTAACACAATTCCGCAAGTTCTTAAATCCCTATGTGTAGTTGTCCCTAATTAAGTTATTGTATGAATGTCTTACACTAGATAAATCACAAAGTCCGTTAATTAAATATAGGAATTTGAGCTACTACCAAAAAGCCAATACTATTTGGTATGTTGATGAATGTTTGTATCTACACGTAGGGTGTCAAATCAGCACGAAATTTTTATTGATTACCAGTGGTCACCAACAAAAGTAATAAAAAGGACTTATTGGAATATTCCGTGTTTCTTTAAAAGCCCAGTATAAAGCAGCTTTTTGACATCTTTTCACTTAGATGTAGCAACCGAAATGTGTTATGTATCTCGATTTGAATTAATGATTGGTCATCATGCATTTTCCGTGAGTTGATGTTTAGGTTTGTACCTACTACATAGCAATATGTTATATTTTAGATGTATTAAAAAACCTCTTGTGCGTCTTGGTGAAGTCAAAGTCCTCTGGTGCTGCTTACAGAGTCCAAAGTCTGATTGCGAATCATCGTAAACTTTTCTGTTTACTAGTAATATGGATAGGCTTATCCACTCTTTACTACGTTGCAAAGTTCAGACAGTAATAGCTGTTCCCAATATCAGGCGTATATTTTTGTGTGGACATTCTTTTTGATCATTTGTTCTCGTAAAGGCCGTAAATCATAAACATTCGCGTAGGCAATTCGTTCGTACATTTCGCTTTGAACTGCACTTCTTATATGAGGATCGGTATCTATCTGGCTTCCTAATATGAAGTAGAGGAGTATTAATATCTCCAATCTCGGGGTTGAAACTCAAATGCTTTAACCACTAACTTACCTCCAAGAAAGACTCATTATCCAAAATCCACTTATTTTTGTGAAATAATGGCTTCATTTTTACCATATAATTTTCTTTTCAGGCATTTTCTAACCTCTCCATGTAACAGTATGTGGCTATCTGCTAACTAGATGTTGTTTTTGCTTCAGCATTCAGCATAATGCCTGTTTTATTTTGTCCCCTTTGTCACTCTTTATTAATGATTGAAGAGTCGGCTCATTGCTATTCGTTGAACTGTTCTGCTCCCATATGTTCTTACAGGTGGTTTGTCACTCAGCCACTAGTTTTAGAACATAAGCCAAGACAGGATGTTCGTTTACGTTTAGAGGAAGATGCCGTTTTCTCGGTTGAAGATGAATACAGTTCTTCTGCTCAGACAGATGAAAAGTGTCCCAAGTGTAGTCATACGCGAGCGTATTTCGTCCAAATGCAAACACGTTCAGCTGATGAACCCAGCACAATCAAGTATTCTTGTATGAAATGTCACCATATCTGGACTGAACAATAAAAAGTATTGTAACTGTACAGAAATGTGCTTGTTCAGATTACTTTGTTTATTTTATAAAATAATTTAATAACGATTGATTGCATCATTTATATTTATTTGTGCAGCTCACTAAGTACAGATCCGTTTATTCAGTTTGTGTTACACTTTTTGTGTGAGGTTTAGTGATGCTTTTCTGTTGTTTGAACAGAAGTCTGTGAAGTAAGACTCAAATTCTCGACCTAGTGTTTAAAAGTTGAATGCCTTCGCTTCTAAACCGTCGCTCAAATCGGTGTGTTGTTTTGCACAATGTTTTTGTTCTTTATGTAGTTCACTATATATATATATATATGGTCAACTCGTTTCAATTCACGCTAGTGCACTTTGAAAGTTATCAACATCAGGATGTATTATCGAATATCTGTAGCTTTCTGTTAGTTCGTGAAAATAGCTGTTAAGCCGTGGAATAGTACAAAACAGACTGAAAGAAATATTTCCAAATTGTCGCTACTCCAAATATTTGGGTTGCACTATGGAATAGGTTTACAAAAGCCCATAGGATATTCCGTATCTATAGCAAATAATGGCTGAAAAGTGTATCTCAAGTGTTCTGAAATTTTCACTCAAAGATTTTATGCTACTGTGTATAATGTATGGCTCTTAGTTTCTTAAACGTACTCAACCCAAATACTATAAACCCTAATGTGACAAATTCTAAATCTGATAGTCCAATGGGGAGATATTTTGGGTAGAAGAGGTATACATGGATTATTAATCTCTCTGACTACTAGTATGCCTTTTGGTGGATGGCAGGAATTCTATACATTTTGTAGGTAGTCACAAAATCCTTCACCGGCACTTTTTTAACGAATGATCGTTAAATAAACTAGTGACTAACCATTGTCAATATTGGGTTATTGCGAATAAGTATATCGTCTGCTATAATTATCAGTTCTGCAATTAGGAATAGTTGTACTGCTCTATGGGCTCATCCCTCTTGATGAAACTAAAGTAGAATCTCAATTGCGCAGTTAAGGAATATAAATTTTGTTGGTATCTCATCTAACAAAATTCAGACCTAATCATCAGGCTTGATTTGTGACCATCAAATCACTATACGATGTGGTTGGGACGGTCTGAAAAGAGAAATATATGGCTTTTTGGTTATCAGAGTGGGGGTTTATGGAGATTGTAGTAATTTTGGTAGTTGAATTCATGAATCGATCCAAGTCATACCACCGTTGAAAACCTGGATGGCCATTTCGTTCTAGTATGGGACTTCTCAGTAGTGCGCATTCATGATCTTACAAGTGGGACTCGAACCCAGTGCCTTCGGTCTCACACGCAAACGCTTAAACTCTAGACCACTGAGCCGTGACCAGTAGATTCCAATACGTGTCGGGTAGAGACTATGTACGAGTGGTTGCTGAAGATCATGGATCAATTGAAGTTAGACATTAACACCGTTGGATAACGGCTCAGTGGTCTAAGGGTTAGTCGTTTGCGTGCGAGACCGAAGGTCCTCGGTTCGAGTCCTGAATGAGGGACCATGGATGCGAACTTCTGGGAAGTCCCATACTAGAGCGAAACGACCGTGCAGTGCTTCCAGGTTTTCAATGGAGGTGGAGCTTAGATCGACTCATGAATTCAACTACTAAAATCAGATGAAGACAGAAGTATTTTGGATTTTAGATAAACACTGTGATTCGGAACAGAAAAATGATCTCCAATAAATCTGAAGAAAATATGGTACAGATCATAAGAGCCATTGCTTTTTCAGCATTCACCAAAAAAGAGTAATTACACAGGTTATATATTTCTGGCTAACTATCCTTAGTCTGAACCTTCTCCGAGACTAAAACTGCTTAAAGTTACCCAGAGAACTTAACTTATATAAAACGCTAGTAATTAAATTTTGACATTGAGCACTTGAGGCTTCACTGTAAACCAAAGGAATAACCCTACACCTATCAAAAGAACGAGTAGTTCTTATTTTAAAAAGGTGAGTTCATGAAAACATAGTAGACTAAGATATTATTATGTTATAGATACAAAATAAAGTTTCTCCTTTTATTCGAACTTCAAATTTTATCAACAAGTATATGTTTTAATAGGCTGTTTGTGGAGTTTACACTTGGGTATTGGGATGTTGAAAAGTGTATATATTAACAAAATATTCATCAAGACACTCGTCTAACGCTCCTGATGTGGATGAAAAATTCAGTATTGGAATAGTGAAGTCTATATTACTCATTTTACGCAGTAATGTTTATACTAGGACTTATCGCGTTATCCTTAAAAGTAATTACGTCGAAGATAGTCGCTGTTTATATTGAATATAGTGAATGACGTAGCTTGTAAATTTGAGCGAAAGATTTACGAATATCAAAAATATTACAATGTCCCCAGTTATACTAAATATTACTTGAAGTCGTAACTGTTCAAACTTGAGATGCCTTCCTTTTTAACAACAGATTTTCCATTTTATCGCCTTTGAATCATATCAGCTAACAGAGTACAAGAAACTAAGTGCTACTTCAGAACTCTAGTTTCACGTATATAATTTACACTACCTAATAATAAGTATAAATAATTTGTTTTTATAGTAAATAGCAGTTTCATTGAATACACGCGTTTCCTCCTACCTAAGACTCATCAATTTTACATACTTGGATCCTAGTGTTGATGTGCACACTTGGAAGCAAACGTAATGTATTTTATACAATGAGCTTCTGAGTCTAGATAGCAACTAACATGTACGGTCTTCATTGTTTGTATAAGTGTGTGCTTCCGCATTTAGGGGTGATTTTCAATCTATGTAGGCGTACACACACCTTGAGCTGATGGTAAACTCAGCCAAAAGATATAATAAAAACTTGTAACTACTAGTAATATCAGTCCATCTGCTTTGGGTGCACATATACCAAAACAAATTGATCGAGATCCCATCTGGCATAGTAGAACTTTTACGAATAATAGTTATAAATGGTAACTGTGGGGGGGGGCCTTTATTATTTACCAGCCATACCAAACGTGTAGAACGCTTATACTTCAATCAGATCGTAATATTGTCAGATAGAAGAATGTGATTTGGAAAACAACTATATTTGAAGTAGAGTAGCCATTATGATTGCCATGGATTTCAGGGAGGATACAGTGGCAGGGAAAGCTGCCGCAAATTTTATAATCATATTTTACATTTTTTGAAGGTTAATAGTTTTATCACCTTTAATTCGTAAGCAAACGTCTGAAATCGGACTTTTTAGCCAATAATCAAAAGCATTAGATCAAAGTGTCGATCATATTGTATATTTACCAAATTAATTATAATAATGCAGTGAATTAAATCAATGAAAACCCGAATGAGCTTACAGACTAATAGGTTCTTTCAAATAATCACCAGAGTACTTACAAGTTAGTGATAAGCTCACTCAAAGTGTACTGGGTCCCAGTCTTCTTGTAATCATTTTAACTGGAAAGTCGTACCACTGTAATCAAAAAATCATAAGGGAAGTTTGAAAATCTCACACTACAGACTCAACAAAGTCGATACATACATGAAAGCTAGGACTCCCTAGATATAACAGCCACCCAGTTACAACAGTCTCGATGGACCCAAGTTTTCAAATTATAACAGTGGCGTTTAGTTGGATGTAACATATTTAAATAATATAGTTAGAACGAAACAACCGTACGGTTGCTTTTTATTTGGAATCTTTCTTCAGTTGACGATATTGCAGGATAATGAGCTCATGCCGTAGATATAATTACCAAGATTTCAAATAAATATTGTGTGAATTGATTGCAATAAAAACGATATGTTCTTAATACTTCTATCATTAGCAAAAATCGGTTCTCTGGTATTCCGAAAATTTCTGGAAGTTGATTATTCAGAAGATGAATAACTTTTCTCCAGTTGACACAAGTTCCAATAAAAAGAAAAGTATGACAGATAAAGCGGTTAGCGCATGTGAAAAATGTTCAGTCTTATTACTGTTGTTTCATTTGAATCAAAGTTGATTCTTCATGAAATATCTTATGGTGCAATCATTACTTTAAGCAAGTCTTTTGTTCTGAAATACCTTAGGATTTGTTATAGCCGCTCTCTCTCAATTTTCAGTTGAGATAAAACTATAATATCAAACTATGAGATTTTACGCATAAATCAATCACTACACTTTATTATTAGTCTCAGAAAAATTATCCACTTCCAAAGTCCTTATTATGTTCTGCTTGATTTAGTTCAAGATACCTCAGCCGTTCACATTTCACCATAAACCATGGGTTAATGACTGGTCATTATTTGTAATGATACGTTTTCCCGGTTGTCACTTTATAATTAATTAATTAAATCTCTCATAAAAATGAAAAGATTACCTGTACGATACTCTAACTTGCTTTTTAAACGAAATAATTGAGTATATTGTTTTTGAAACGTTGTACTATAGTTTATACGAATATTCGTTAATATTTGAACGAATAATTTGACGGAAATCGGGTTCCGAGTATATAGAATACATCTGTCAAAATTATATTTGAAATAATCTCACTGACTGTAAGTTAAATAGTCCCGATGTTTCTTCCGACAATCTTTTCTGGACATCTTTAGGGTTGAAGATGCCACAGGTATTCGGAGTTTGACAACGCTTTAACCAGCAACGCCATTATGAATCGAACCCACCAAATGAAACCAAAAGACAGAAGCGAGGAGGTCTGAGGATATATTTGATAGGTTATCTGATGTGTGGGCGAGAATGACAATGATTGGTTGTCTCGATGAGTCAGACATTAGATAGGATGACAGGTGTTATGTGTGTTATATATATTCCCCTATCCTTATTATGTATTGACTGTTCCTTGTTGATGGACACTTAGTGATTGACTGTTCTTTGTGTCGGATTTTGGTGTGGAAATATATTGACGTCATAGTCAGGCTAATCTCGTGTTCTTGATCTGAGTTCTGTTGAAGTCCTGTAGAATAGACACTGGGTGGGAATCTAGTGCAGATATTCGTCTAAGATAAATTAACGTCCCACATACGTGTAAGAAGTAAAAGGACTGTTATAACGAGAACCCCTACTGTTATAACCAGCATCCTCTCTTTTAAGTTTATAACATTATCAATATATCGTGGATCGACTGATCTAATCTGACCAGCGATTTTAGGGGATGTTGAGCACGTCGTTCCCACCCATGATCGAGCGTCTTCAGCTAGGTGAGTCCATTAAAACTAATGTGGTCAGCATCCAATGTCGAAGACTTAATAAGCTATTTATTTTGGGGATTTACTTACCACTACAGTATATATACATATATATATATATATAACGTTTGACAATAAAATATACAATAAGAGCTTGTCCAACCCCATACAATTGTTGATTCTAGTAAGCTATACTACAATCTTCCAAATAACCTGGTTTTATCAATAATTTAGTCAAGCCACCTTAGTATTTGGGAAGGTTACCCGAGATAAATGACCATTTGTCCGTCTTTTAACAAACTGTATAGATTTGAGTTTATTTAGAAATAAATCATTACTGACAATCCGGTCATTCTTTCAATGACATCAAAATTTATTTATTATCCAATGACATTAATTACTACCAATAACTATGGCGTGTTAATATACCATTGTCTTGAAACTGAATAATAAATCCAAATGCATAAGGACGACTGATTAACATGTTTTTTCCGACCATAAGTTGAAGACCCAACAACGGAAAATAAAAAAAATTTGAAGCTAAACATAGACAGACACAAAAGCAACCTATTAAATCCATTTGAATCACAGCTAGTTTCATTGATTCTATATTGCAAACTCAAGAGTATTTTATTCTAAAGATAGATAAATTGATTGGTTGATTGATAGATGGTTGTTTACTACTAAGGATACGTGGAATACTTTTTACATAAAACATGTTACCGTTAATTTTTGTTGATCAACTCATTGTTTTAATAACTATTCATTTCTCGTGAACTGATTGAATGGTGTATGGCTATCGATATCACGAGTTTTTAGGCTGATTAATCATTTGGTAAATAAATCACTTCAAGTTTACCAAATAACTGTTAATCAATTGAAGTTTGCATACACGTACAGTTTGTGCAATAACATTACGTATTTAAATTATTCATTTGAAGATCCATTTTTGGAATAAGTGATCACTAATAAAATATGAAATAAAAATACCTTTAATACTATTTGATTTTTTATAGTTAACTTCTTATTGTCCACGATGTATGTTTAATTACTACAGTTAAAATTAAAATAATTTATCACTTATATACCATGTAGTGAACGAGAACACAAGAGAGGACAATCGAATATATTTGAATACGAAATTACAGAATCTCTTAGTAAAATCTGAGAACCCTACAGTGAATACTTCATTTACAATATGTCAATCAATCGTCTCAGACTTCATTGTTGTTTCGTTTACACACCAATCATTCTTTGTTATCGTTCTCTTTTCTTAATCTTCTGACCCCATGCATTTCACTTTCGATTGTTGGCGTATACTACATTTATCTGTTGATATCAGTAGCACACACCACAGCAATATTTCATACACATAGTTCCCGCCATCGTCTCTAAGAGAGCAGGAAGAAATATACGGACAGAATAACATGGATTCATTTTATTTCATTTGGTTCTTGTCAGCTACTTATAACTTACATTACTTAAAAATAAAATTGTACATTGATTCTGTTTAATTAGAAATATTTTTAACTTGTAAATGAAATTCGACGTTTTGTGGTACTTAACAAAAAAATATCATGTGATTTCTTTTGCTTCAGTCCAACAATTTTTATTTTGTGCGAGATTTTTGCTGAAACCGTCGAACTTTGTAGTTTACATCAAGAACTGATTGCATGTAAACAAACGCTGGAAATTGGGAAGCACTGAATAACTGTTTCGTTACAACCAAATACATCTCAGCAGTGTGCATCTATGACTCTACAAGGGATTGAACTCGGAATATTCACGCTTTGACACAAGCGTCAAATCCTCGTATTACTTAGTCAGTATTCTACGATTTCAATTCCAAACATTGGTTAATCAGATGTCTATCTGTGCATAACATCTAGAGATAATTTTCAGGGTTCTAGTGGGAAGCCAGGGCTAGTAGAGTGATGGAGTCTCCCACCAATATCAATGGGTGATGTTTATGCAATATATAAAATTAACTGAAGTAAGAAATGTAAACCAAATGGTCAAGCGATCGCCTCTAGGAGATCCTAGTTTAGATACCCAACTTGTTTTAGGGTGCACACTGCTGAAGAGTTCCATACTAGGACGAAATGGCTTCTTTGTGCTTCCTAGTTCCCAGTGGGTGTTTAGTTGCAGTCATTTTGTGTAATGAACTACAGATTTCTATTTAACTTCGTAGTTTCGATTTTCACTTTAATTTAATCCTAAATGGTTGGAACTTAAATAGTGTAAGTACAACGTGTAATTCTATACATTGTTTATTCAGTAATTAATATACTACTTCCTTTAAATCAGCATGCAAATTTGAAAAAATCACATTACATGAGATAAGAATAGTCCTTACTAATCCCTAATAAATTACAGCCAAAAAAAGAATTTTTCGATTATATATATCAACTGAAATACCCACCTATTATTCGACTAGTTAGTTGGGTTGATCCAGTAGAACACATCTGTGTGAACAAGAGACAATCAGTGTTAGTGATGCTTAAAATAATAAATACTACAGATTTTTCAAAGAATCAACTAGGAGAGACATTAAAGTCGAAAATTATCGTCAGTAAACTTGATAGTATTTCAGAAAACTATGACTATTTAAATTGCATTAGCGAGAAAAAGGAATACTATAAAGAATTATAGGTTTAAGTGATTAATTGCATTTGTATTTATAAAATAAGCCAGACATATGAAAAAATCAGAGCTACATATTTATATAACACATATGCATACCACCAATCGTCCATTTTCGTCTTCCGGTGTGTTATACAATCTGAACTGTCTCCTCAACTGGTCTCGAAGTGTTCTATCAACGTCATACTTTTGATTTTATAAAGTTCATTTTCAACCTGAACCTACCCTGACAATATGATTCATTATTCGGTGTTGTATATTTCACATTATTTTCCTTAATATTTTTGTTTTCTCTTATCTCACAATTTGTCTAATTGATCTTTCATTTTTCATCGACAAATATTCCTAACAAGCATACGTGTTATCAGGTTGTTTAAGATTTATTAGCCCAATATTTCATATAGTTTGATAATCTATGCTTATGTCCTATCGCATTATCCAAATTTATCAAAGAGGCTGATTGTCTTATAAAATACTTGTTTGAAAATTTCAGACCTCTAAACTAATTTAAAATGAAATATCAGGTGCATGAATGAATAGTTAATGGTGATATTCTTCATGGTTAAAAAATGTTTTCTCAGCATGAAATAACAGTAAGCCTAATTCATTCCATGATCCAAATTCAGAACACCTTATTGGATGGAAAATTTGTGTATTAGAGCATTACATACACCTTTATTTATCTTAAAATTACAAGAGATAATATTTCCCATACATTTATTTATCTCGCAATATTCTTGGATGATTGAACTGATATTTTTTTAGGATGACAGTTGGTTGTTTGAAAAGACAGAGAACGAAGTATAGTCAACAACCAACTGACAACAATCACATCAATCAGTCATCATCTACCCGTGGTAAATAATATTTGATTGAAAATACAATAAATAATGAAGTATGATATTGTCAATAATTGAATTTTTAAAGTGTGATATCATTGTATTTCCTTGTGTTTACAAAATCTGTAACAGTGGTTTCTAGGGTGTGATAATTCATCATTTGAATAATACAAACATCTGTTATTTTGATATGGAAAATATATGTCTATAGGAGGCTAGAAAAGATTGCATTATAAATGGATTCGACAATAAATAACAAATGAGGTGGCGTACTAACTTAACATCTAGACGTCAGCAACAAATAACTTTGACGGTGCAGAAGAAAACCTTGTTTATGAATATGGGATTCAAGGGAGACACGGCTGCTGAAATCCTGAATAAACGGATTTCAAAAACGTTGAATAAAACTTTCTACACAGCCAAGCTCCGAATCGTTTTCTCTAGCCGGCCTACCATTCGGGGGTGTGTTAAGGATAAGCTTTCGCTTTGGGCCACATCGATGTGTATTTATAAATTTACTTGCTCATGTGGAGCACGTTATATAGGCCGCACAAAGCGATCGCTTTCCAAACGTATCTCTGAACACTATCCAGCTTGGCTCCTAAAAGGTGAATGTAAGAAGATAACCAGTTCGATACAAGAGCACTTGATCAATTGCGGACACATTGCTCCAAAAGAGACGTCTTTTAAAATAATCTATAGAGTTAAAGGAACCGGATCAAAGGGAGGTCGAATCAATATTTTATGCACTGCTGAGGCATTGGCAATCCATGAATTCAAGCCTGAACTTTGCGTGCAGAAACGATTTGTCCAACCTCTTACCCTTCCTTGGCCCTAATTCCCTCATTGGGTACGTTTTTTTGGTTTTTTGTTTTTTGTACTTTTATCTGATTATTATCGGTTTTTTGTTTTTTAAATTACTACTTTACATTTAATCTCTAATCTGTTATTATTATTATTACCTTATACAAGTTTTCTTGATTATTACTCAGATTATTATTATTATGACCTTTGTGTTGGTCGCTTTTCTTCAATCTGTCAATTGGACTATTATCTGACCCATTAATTATTTTCTTCCTTACCCCTTGATTAGTACTTAACCTCATTTGTTATTTATTGTCGAATCAATTTATAATGCAATCTTTTCTAGCCTCCTATAGACATATATTTTCCATATCACTATATATACGAATGTACAGCTTAAGTAAATGATCTGTTATTTTATTGTTCTTTGATATCAAGAATATTGAATTCCCTATTTATGTAATTTTATTTCATGTTTACACCGACGACGACCATACTGATCTAATGAATTTAGCGAACTTCCTAATTATTTTCTATATTCATCCATAGAATTGACTAACTAAATACACCATGTAACATCTTAGGTAGTTTACCATTACAATAGAAGTTAATTAGACATCAGTAGAATACAAAACGATTCTATTATGTTACATTAAATTAATTTTTAATGGTTAAAACAATTAATCACCATCAATCTTATCAATAACCATAAATGGATAAAGTCATTTATTTATAAAGCTCACTTGAATGTAATAAAAGTTGTCTTTGTGTTATTGACTAATGATTAAAATTATTTGCTTACAAACTATTTGTTTTCTTTTACTACTAATAAGTTGAATATTGTCTCTACTTCTTTCATATTGTCAGTTATACTAATATTATAGTGTATTAGACTTTAAATCAAATGCAGAATATACATTTGTCTAGAAAATTTATGTACATATTTTTTACTATCATATTCAAAACAAACTTTAATCCATAAAGTGTTTTTGTCTAATTATTCAATTGTCTATTAGATATGTTTACAAATAAAGTAATAAATATAATATCACATGATAAATGCACATAGTTTCAAAAGTAAACAAACCTTGAAAGTGAATAGAAAATCACATTTCAATTAATCCTTTACACAATTTGTATCTACCATCCAATTATCGTGAAATAAATCTATTGACCTTGGGACTTATTATTATTATTTATAAATATATAAAAAATATACCACGTGTATGAACGTTAACTTCATGTAGACTACATCTTTTCTTTCATCCAGACTAGTATACAGATATTGAACCAAATAATTCACAACAAGATGATGTCTTTACAGATAAATCCATGCTTTCAAACAATTTATTGTCTCTATTATTATTATCATTATTCTTATTATAATTGTGACTGGAAATTCTTGTTTGCAAGACCAAAACATGTGAAAAATATTTAGGATGATATTTTAATAGACAATTAGTTAACATAAAATAACAGTTTATAGATTATATTAACATGGTAGATAAATGTAGATCAGAGAAATTAGAGACATAACTACTTCAGTCACTGGAACATCATAAACGTGAAAGAAAATTCCCTATGGACCCTGAACGGTACATTCATAACTTAAATAGTAAACAGACAAAAAATGACTTAGATATATTGATGTTTGAGTTATTTTGAAGAGAATAGGTTCTAATCAATTCCCATTCATATCTGTAATACAACTGTTTCATTAGTCAATAATTTACTAAGCTCCGTTGTCAGTGAATCGATGTCTATTCATAAGAGTGTGTTTGAAAAGGGGAACCACCGAAAAAGTGTGTATTAATGAACACGAGCATCAAAAGGGAAGATTAAATCATTAAGGGTTTTAAATTTAGTCCGTTTACCATCTGACCCTTTGTCTTTACTTTCAACAAATACTATGATTTTTCAAATTCTGCAACAATTCATTGTTCTTATTTCCCCAGTTATATTATCGCATACATCTATTTCGGACAGCGAAGCTGAGCATGTAGTTAACCTGCCTAATAATTAATATGAGGTTTTACAGCAGTGAACTTTAGACAATGTGTCTCTTCACTCACTATCAAATGTAATTTTGATATGATATTCGCAACCTACTTATTTCAAGCAATTGACCAATATTTATCAATGAATATGAATTGTCTGATGCTATAGACTATTCGTGTTTTAGTCAAGGATTTTTGAAACAGACTAAATTATAACACTAATTGGTGCCTTTGAGATTCTTCTAAATAATACCCTATTTGTTTTACCAATGTATGTGCTACTTCGGAAAGAGTATATGAAACTGGAGTTAACTAAAGGAGGTCTTTTATCTGAGTTAGACTCTCTAAGTAGACTTTCTTTTTCATAGATGATAATTGAAAGTAGGGAAGGTCATTTCAGTACTTGCCTGTAATCTATGTTTATCATGTATGCAAGAATAAATCCCATTTTTCACACAAACGTACCTCCATATGATTTATTCGGAATTGAACTAAAGTGATAGATAAGTTTGCAAATTCTTATAGAATGTAATTGATATTTTTTAATAATCAGTCAAATGCAGATATGAATTGAATAATATGATGATTACCAGAAAAACTATTGTCACATCTTACAAAGTTGCAGAACTTGCACTATTATGGTTTATTCTTGAAATATTTGTGGTGTTTATACTACTCGATGATTCCTTTGTACCTGATTACGCAGCTAATTTGAATTCAAAATTTAATACGTTCAGTTGTTCTATCGAATTTTACATACCTTAAGTTCGACGCATGACAAAATGGCATCAGCTAGAAATATTCCTAAAATAGCGGTTACTGCCAACTTATCAATCTTCAATAGTATACACAGTTCTACATATAATTTTGAAAATATTCGTCTTCTCATTGCATTATTCAAATTTCCCATAAAACCGAAATGCTATAAACACATATAATGTATTTATTTCTTCCGAAATACATTTACAATAACAAGATTAGATTATGTTGTATTCATGGACTTTGGTCGGACAGAATACAATCATACAGGAAATGAATTCTGTACCACAAACATAACATCAACAATACGTCGATTAGATGAATTATGAAATGTTAATTGTTGGTTGACAGAGTGAAGTAATGTTGTTGGTAAGTGGAGTTGCGTTATTCCAAACGACCAATTTATCAATTTTCCAATGCTTC